TAGTGCTCAATACATCAATTGTAGAGCGATATAGAAATATCACTGTTAAAATAGTGCTCATTACATCAATTGTAGAGCGATATAGAAATACCACTGTTAAAATAGTGTTCATTACATCAATTGTAGAGCGATATAGAAATACCACTGTTAAAATAGTGCTCATTACATCAATTGTAGAGTGATATAGAAATACCACTGTTAAAATAGTTTTCAATACATCAATTGTAGAGCAATATAGAAATACCATTGTTAAAATAGTGCTCAATACATCAATTGTAGAGCGATATAGAAATATCACTGTTAAAATAGTGCTCAATACATCAATTATAGAGCGATATAGAAATACCACTGTTAAAATAGTGCTCATTACATCAATTGTAGAATAATATAGAAATATTAAAACAGAACTTGAAAAAACATGTTACTCAGGGTTTCACACTATGCGATCTTCAGAAAACTAACCTATATTAAATAATAACACTAAGATATATGGATCCGATCTACTATTCTAAATTTATTCTTGTGCCCGCAGCATTAAAAGTAGCTCGGTTGGTGCTTCTTTTTTTAATTGTACTCTGATAAATAGGAAAAAGGAAATAAAACGCCAATTGTATTTGCAAGTCTTCAGTAGCTCAGTTGGTATATCACATAAAATTAAATTTTCGTCTTATTTATTCCAAATAAAATTCAAATTTTGTTTTGTTTTCCAGTTTTCTGTCCAGACGGAGAAGAACAGTTGGATAAAAATGCCACAGTTTGTACCAAATGTGGAATTGGTTTCCATAGAAACAGTTCTGTGTATCCATATCAAATTTGCCAACCATGTCCAGGCAATTTTAAAACACCTAAAGAGGGAGCTGTTTCTGACACCGAATGCACCATCTGTAAGTAGGACCCTTTCTTAACATCAGATGTAAATTAGAATTAAAAAAAACCTGACAAGACTTCATCTCTTTGCAGACACATGTTTCAGATATACAATCCTCAGCAGGACAGCTAGTTTTTTTTCCATATTAAGGTCTTTACATTATGAACATTGTAAACTAATGCACAGAACAGGTTTAAATGTTGACTGTCTAAATTGGCTGAGTTTATATCTTGGCTGAGTTCTTATCTTGGCTGAGTTCTTATCTTGGCTGAGTTCTTATCTTGGCTGAGTTCTTATCGAGGCTGAGTTCTTATCTTGGCTGAGTTCTTATCTTGGCTGAGTTCTTATCTTGGCTGAGTTCTTATCTTGGCTGAGTTCTTATCGAGGCTTATCTGGTATGTGTCTCAAATATACAGTAGAGGGTTCTTAAATGTTTTTGTCGATGTTGATGCCATCTTGAATCTCAAACAAATGATACCAAAGCGCAGTGAGCCACGATTTGGTCGACTTTGATAAGTGCTTTTGTTTATATAAATGCCCACTTTGATCTGTGCCATTATGATTTGCTTAAATAAAAACGCCTTATGCATACTAACATATTTGCCATTGTGTTGATTGTTTTGCTGTATTTTTTAGATAAATGTCCAGCAGGCAAATATCCAGTCATGGATAAATGTGAACCTTGTCCCTTGGGCGAGTTCCAACCGGAGGCTGAGAAAGAAAAATGTATTAAATGTACTGGAGATCTGAGCACCAGAAATAAAGGATCTACCAATGAATCCCAGTGTGAAAGTAAGTAGGAACCAGGGAATAGCAGGGGTTCTAGAGCATCCGAAAGCTCCAAGTGGTTCCACAGGGTTCTAGAGCATCCAGAAGCTCAAAGTGGTCCCACAGGGTTCACAGGGTTCTAGAGCATCAAAAATTCCAAGTGGTTCCAGGGGTTGTTTTATAGTAACAGTGGCATCAATGGCTCCAAAGTTGAAAAAGTTAAAAAAAAAAAAAAAAAAAAAAGGAATAGTCTATGTCTGTTTTCAGGGCACTTTGGTGTAATGGACCTAATTTGACCATTGAAATAAAAAGTTTACTATTAACTTTCATTCATTCTGTGTTTCCTAGATTACTGTGTTTCTGGAGAGGAGAAGAATGCCAATGGAACCTGTGATACATGTCAAAGAGGATATTATAAAGACAATAAAGAGGGTTTGTTTGGAGAATGTAATCTGTGTCCTATAGAATTTATAACACTTGGTACAGGAGCTAAGCAAGCCTCAGACTGTAATGTCAGTAAGTAGTAATTTCTTATACACGAACTTTATTAGCTATGTGGACTCTCTGAAAGAGATGCTAAGTTGACAAACCTAAATACAAAATAAACATTATTAGCTATGTGTTCATTGAATGATGACTTAAAGTAGATTGAACAAACAATTTTTTCATTATTTTATAGAAAATTGTAGCGCTGGGTCTAAACTCGAAAGTAATCAATGTATTGATTGTCCAGTTGGATTTTATCAAGAAGAGAAATGGCAGACTACGTGTATGAAATGTGATGCAGAAAAAACGACAGAAAATAAGGGAGCTGATCGAAAGGAACTATGTATCTGTAAGTATTGTCAGATAGTTATTACATTGTGAAAATTTATTACAAAATATGTACACCTCCATCTGATTTTTTTCTTGGTCTCATGTATTGTTTTTACTAAACCTAAGACACAAAGTGACAGAACATATATGACAGTGTAACTTAGAATACGGAGTGACAGTGACATGTTACCTAGGATACAATGTGACAGTGACATTTAACCTAGGATACAAAGTGACAGTGAAACTTAACCTAGAATACTATGTGCAGGGATAAGTAACCGAGGATATGAATGACAGGGAAATGTAACCTAGGATACAAAGTGACAGGGAAATGTAACCTAGAATACGAAGTGACAGGGAAATGTAACCTAGGATACAAAGTGACAGTGACATGTTACCTAGGATACAAAGTGACAGTGACATGTTACCTAGGATACAAAGTGACAGGGAAATGATACCTAAGACACAAAGTGACAGAACATATATGACAGTGTAACTTAGAATACGGAGTGACAGTGACATGTTACCTAGGATACAATGTGACAGTGACATTTAACCTAGGATACAAAGTGACAGTGAAACTTAACCTAGAATACTATGTGCAGGGATAAGTAACCGAGGATATGAAGTGACAGGGAAATGTAACCTAGGATACGAAGTGACAGGGAAATGTAACCTAGGATACGAAGTGACAGGGAAATGTAATCTAGGATACAAAGTGACAGTGAAATTTAACCTAGAATACTATGACAGGGAAATGTAACCTAGGATACAAAGTGACAGGGAAATTTAACCTAGGATACGAAGTGACAGGGAAATGTAACCTAGGATACAAGGTGACAGTGACATGTTACCTAGAATACAAAGTGACAGTGATATGTTACCTAGGATACAAAGTGACAGTGAAATTTAACCTAGAATACTATGACAGGGAAATGTAACCTAGGATACAAAGTGACAGGGAAATGTAACCTAGAATACGAAGTGACAGGGAAATGTAACCTAGGATACAAAGTGACAGGGAAATGTAACCTAGGATACGAAGTGACAGGGAAATATAACCTAGGATACAATGTGACAGTGACATGTTACCTAGAATACAAAGTGACAGTGACATGTTACCTAGGATACAAAGTGACAGGGAAATTTAACCTTGGATTTTACTACAGTATTCTACGATACATTGTTATAACTGTTTTTTTTCATCGTTTTAGTGAAATGTAACCCAGGTAAAGAGGATGTCAACGGAACCTGTACAGATTGTCAAGTTGGTTTCTATAAGTCTACGCAGGCTGCCGAGAAATGCAAGATGTGTCCGACTGGCTTTATAACTATAGCTACTGGTTCCACATCAGACACTGACTGTAAAGTTGGTGAGTTATCTTTCTTGGTTTCCTCTACCCCAAACCTACAACCACCCTTTGTGCAATTCTTTTACCATTCGTACCTAAGTCTCAGAAAATGGTATTTTTTAGCTAAGCCAATCAGTAATAATGTTCACAGCTCACTGTCAAAATCTATGTGCGTCTAGAATTGAAGTTTGAAGGTTAAAAAGATGAGTTGTCTTTTCTTGAGACTGCCATATTTAGAAAAGAGATCAATAAAAAAAGGAAAAGAAATTCCTAGTTTGAGATATTTTTAAAGGAATGATGCGATTTTTGTACATTTCAAGTATATCTGAAGAATATATATATATATTCTGCTTCTGCTTCTGTCCCTTTAACAATGTCTTCTGTGTTTTTTTAGCTGCTTGTACCCCCGGAGAATATCGAGACGATGCTTTGAATTCATGTAAGAAGTGTACATATGGTGATTATCAACCAATGAAATGGCAGACTGAATGTCTGAGTTGTGGAGCAGGAAATACAACGTATGTTAAAGGTGCCGATGACATCAGCCAATGTCAAGGTCAGTTCTGATTCAGGTTCAGTTTAATTCACAGAGTTTTTACAAAATTGTTATGATGACTTGTTCAACATGAACGTCAACAATTGGCACCATTCCAATTTTCAGTCATACATCTGTTGATCTTTCAATTCCAACTTAGTTTTTGTTGATGTCACTATCGTCAGGGCCTTCGATATTCTTAGCAGTCTTTGTGATAGCGACGTCATATAACACTGCGTTTTAAAGGAATGGCAAGAACCACAGCATCTGATTAAAAATTGGAATGGTGCAAATTGATACTATCAGTGTCCCTGATAAAAATAAAAGACTTTGAAAACCCCTTTACCTTCCCTTTAAAACAAAATTTATGAGGATTTTGCTGAAGATGACTCGGGTGTATTTAAAGATCGAACCTACCTTTATCTTTTTGATATATGAACACAATTATGGGGTTAACAATTACTTTAATAATTAACTTGTGACGTTTCAAGGATGATACTTTCATCTTTATCAAGCAATGATGATTTGATATTTTTTTTAGCGGACTGTCTCGTCGGACAGGAGAACATAAACAACACCTGTTCTCCTTGTGAAATTGGATTCTACCGAGATAAGGTGGATAAAGAACAGCCAAGATGTCTGAAATGTCCTGGAAACAAAATCACTGCCGAGACTGGCGCCACGAAAGCTGAAGACTGTACAGTCAGTAAGTATTATAGACATTTTCAGTCTTTTTCAGATGCTTTCAGTCATTTTCAGACAGGTTAAGACAGTTTCAGTCATTTTCAGACAGTTTCAGTCATTTTCAGACATTTTCAGACAGTTTCAGACATTTTCAGTCATTTTCAAACAGTTTCAGTCATTTTCAGACAGTTTCAGTCATTTTCAAACAGTTTCAGTCATTTTCAGACATTTTAGAACAGAATATTGTGTCTGTAGAAATTATTTCAATTTTTTTAAATGTTTTATTTGAGCAAGTTACATTCTGTGACAAAAAATTTACCGACCGAAGAAGTTGAACTCAATAGAAGGTCATAGAGCATAAAATTAGTTTGCCTAATATGGCAAGAGGTCCTTCTGTTGGCTCCTTGTTGGAATTTGCTTACATTTTGCTTACATTTTGTTTACATTAGTCAAAGTGTAATTTTTTTAAACTAATTTTGTGCTTCTTTTCTGAATTATTTGAACAAAACATAAAGCACTTGTTCTGTTTCAACATTTCCAGTTTCCCAAAAACTTGGCAAAAACTAAATTTTATTACGTTTTATTTTTGCAGCTGCCTGTGTGACTCTGGGAGAATATTTAGTAGAGGCTACTAATCAATGTCAAAAATGTCCGAAAGGCCAGTACCAAAATGAAGAACGTCAGAAATCATGTAAAAATTGTCCAACTGGAAAAACAACAGAAAATGAAGGAAGCTCAAAGCCTAATGATTGTAAAAGTAAGTATATTGTGTTGGTGTTAGTGTTTGCTTTAGTCCAATCTGATTGAAATTAGATTAATATTCCATTTCGTTATTTTTAATCGATTTCCATTGTAATCTAACAAGATTTATACCAAGTTTGTGTTCTGTTTAAAGCCCTGCCTTGTTAGCCAATCACTTCATAATAAGGTTATGAGCTGTGCATGCTGTAATAGTTGAATTACATGGAGTATAATTCTAGTGGTAATAGAAAATTGGATCGTATTGGATGAATAAATGGGGTTGAATTCTTAGATATGTATGTATTATGTATATTTTAGCTGATTGTCTGGCCGGGTCTCAATATAACGAAGGTGCTGGTAAATGTGAACTCTGCCCTGTGGGTCAGTATCGAGATAAAACAACCTGGGGTTGTCAGATGTGTCCTGATCAACTATCTACCACCCAAACTGGTGCTGTTTCGCAAAGCGAGTGTACGAAATGTATGTAGACAATAATTTCTATCTGAACCTCCTGAAAAACTTCAATCAAAAAAAATCAAGCGCACTCATTCTCCAAAACAACTTCAATAAAATCAATATTTTAAGAAATACATTAATCTGATTGGATAATAAAACTAAATTTAAAATCAATTTTAGTGATTAACAAATCAGATGACTGGAACACTAAAAGTTAGATTTTTGAAAAATAAGGCCCTAGAAAATCTAGACAAACATGTTTTCACATATAATAATTTGTCATCCAAATACAACAAACTTTTGAGTGGACATAATTTGTACTAACTAACAAATATTTTCATCAATCACGCCCAACTTATTACACAAGGATTGTAGGATGTATTATTGTCTAATAACAGACGTTCATATACTTTTGTATCCTGCTAAAACCTGGTAGGAACAATCCCTATGTAAGATTCAAAAATCGTGTCAAAGATTGTCATGAAGATACCTACAGACTACCTTACCTGGTATACTGTCACTGGTTAACCTTATTATCTTTAAAGAATATTTTGTATTTTCTAGCTCCATGTAAGGCAGGAGAGAAATTTGATCAGACGCAGAAGAAGTGTGTAGCATGTCCTCTTAACACTTACCAACCAGACGCCAACAAATTTGAATGTATTTCCTGTACACGGGGAGAATCCACGTCATCAACTGGTAGTACAGCTGCTTCAGATTGTCAAAGTAAGTAGACATTATTGGTCAACAGAAACACTGGCCATGGCTGAGTAATTATGATAAAAATACAAGCAAGACAATTATGGAAACCAGAAAATCAGGAGTAAAGGTAGTATAGTAGTGGACTCCTCCAAGGTGTTTCGCAAAAATACTGGTTGTGTCCATATTTGAATATATATAACGCCTAAACAGTGCACTGGCTTTGTCACGCTAGAGGGTATTCACTAATGAAAGTCATATACAGATATGCAATGTGCTTCCCGCCAAGCGAGTTGAATGGAAACTTTTCGTTACTTATACCAAAATCATAGCAGTAAAATTAAACTTTATAATATGTTTTGTTTTCACAGAGAAATGTTCAGACGCCACAAAGATTGATTGTCATAGTAACGCTGTATGTACTAATGTAGCAACTGATAAGGGCTACACGTGTACTTGTACAGATGATTACCAAGGTGATGGAGTAAACTGTACAAGTGAGTTTATTTTATTTTATTTATTAAACATTTCATCAGGGCTTATCAAGGCACAATATCTTTTCTTGACCATTTTGAACTATTTGTGGAATGGTTGGTACAAATGTTTATTGTTGTCTAAATGATATTCTAGGTGGTGCTTGATTAGAGAGTCCTGAACAGCTTCAATTCTGCCATCAATCCAATGGTACAGAAGTGGAATATGTTACTTTAAAAATTTTTACATCTATTACCTTCTGATCAGATTTTCACCTGCTTTTCTCCTACATACATATAGAAAAAGTCCTGATGAATGATACTATATCTGAAACATCTGACAGCAGCATAAGATGAACTCCTTTCAAATATTATGCATTTGTCTTAAAAATTTAGTGGAAAAACACATGAGAGGGATTTAATTTCTCAAAGCTCTTGTTATTTTTGGAGCAGCACAGCTCTCCTCTTAGCTTTTTAACATAAATATTCATAACTTTCTTTAATTTAATATTTTATATTTTTCCAGATAAATGTTTATTGGGTTATTGCGGTAATTTTGGAACGTGCGTCCCCGATTCCTCACCTATTCAGTGTCAATGTCGGGAAAATTATGAAGGTGCTCAATGTCAGAGCAGAAAAGGTACGAAATCTTGAGATACCAGATAGAAACTTTATATTTGAGCTCCACTATATTTATTTAAGTTGTGGAAAAAAATACCAAATGATGTAACCTGTTGTTTAACTGAAAAACTTTTCAATGTATAGAACCTAAGCACTCGTCTTAAAATAAACAAATGTTGAGAATTGTGAAACAGAATGAAACTTTGAGTAACAACATGTTTCAGGTTCTTTTTTAATATATCTATATTTTTATTTTATTGTATTATTTTGTTTTAATTTCGGGTAACTTTTGTGGTTTTGAATTGTTAGTACTTGTTTTAGTATAATATATTTTTTATTTTGTTTATTTGTAGATCCAAGTGTGAGTGGACCTCTAGCTAACAAAACTATTATTATTGGTGTGGTCACAGCAGTAGCCTTATTACTATTTATTATATTAATTATAGTCTGTATTATTGTCAGAGCCAGGTAAGAGTTCTCTTCTCTTTGTTATATTATATTTCACCCTGCTAGAGATTTTTTTTATTCGAAAATTACCATAAACAAACCTTAGACTTTTTTTTTTCCTTAGTGATTGGTGTTTAATTTTTCAAATTTAATTTTTTGTGTTTTTTTGTTTCAGTTTTGATAAGACAAATAATATGAGTAAATATATCAATATATGTCTGTTTTGTTCTCGTGATTTAGAATATATTTTATATTATTTGCAGACGACGACACCAGAAACGAAAGCCATTTTTAAATGAATTTGATGATAGAAGTGTTGGAACGAGAATGTCTTTTCAAAATTACGACCCTTACGGATCTAAACCTCCGTCAATGGGAGGTCAAAGGTTAATGTTACCATCTAATGTGGAGAAGATGTACGACAACCCTGTGTTTAGAGGTAAATAAATACTGACTTGAACAATATGAAGATCATACAAATGATGGTTGTGGGTTCTAATCTCAGATGGCATGTGCAAGTCTGATGACCTTGAATATGTCATCTTCACTCGTAATTCCAGTCGACCCAGCTTTAAATGGGCGTGGATGACCCAGGAAAGATCAATGTTTAGGACTTAAGTTGTACAATAGTTGTTGCTTTTGGGGGTAAAGTCTTTTTCAGTCAGGCAAATTCTGTTTTGGGGTAAAAACCTGTGCGTTATATACAGAAATATATGGTATATATTTTATCCACTGGTAGCGCTCAATTATAGATTATTATTGGTGATTTTTTGGCCATTTTAACTGTTCTGATTAACTCCTCCCATTTCCATCTTTCTCCTTTCTCTATATGAATACAAGTAATATTTATAATTTTTGTAAAATTTTTAATTTCAGAGGATGATCCAGCTGTGTATAGAGCCTAGATCTGCCATCTTATCTTCCATCAATAACCTTGACCCCTGATCAAGGCCAAGGTTACCATCATCACCTCTTGATCATCATTATTTAAACCAGGTTTAAAGCATGACCCCATTATGACCTATGAACTTTCATGACCTCTTTTTTGTATTTGTACTTACAACTTTACTAATGTTTTTATTGTTTGTTTTTTTTTAAATTTTTGATTTGAAATATATTGCAATATTGTGTGTGCAAGAAATTAGGATCATTCCAATCAAAACTGTTTCAAAACATATTTATAGTTTGAAAATTTTCATTTTTCTCTGACATTAGGACGCAAATTTGACCATATTTTGGTGTATTTTTGTGGAAAAAAGCAGAATTTTCACAAAAGGTTTTCCAGTTTTAATCTGAAATCTATTTTAATCAATATAATTAAAAGAGGTGCAGGACACCTTCTGATTAAATGTTTTGTTGGAATTAGTAGAAATTCCTTGTATCCATAGTAAATCAACAATAATCACGGACATTGCAGTAGGTTCTATGATACAAAATACAAACAATTTCAGTCGACCTAGTCTTGAGGTAGAATAAATAAATAATAATTGAAACTGTGTAAACTAAGGGCCTTTATTATCAAAAAATTAACTTTAGATTTTACTGTTCATTCATCTGATTCGTCAAATTTAATTGTCTGATTATTTTTTTAAAATAAGGTCTCAGTTTTATATAGTGTTTATTTCTTCTTTAGATTTAATTGAATTGTCCACAAATATCTTGGCTCGACTATGACGATGGACAATTTTAATTTTTGCAAAAATATATATGTTTTAACAATTTTTTGTATTAATTTTAAATCAGTGCTTCAAATATTAAACTTGTATTTATATTTTATTGTCTGTGTATGTATTTTTATAAATCATAAACAAAAACTATGCAATATTTTATATTTTAGTAGTTTAATAAGTTTGTTATTTAAAATCAAATTTACAAGATTTTTGTTACGACTGATTGACTGGAGTAAAAACTGAATGATGGAGACTAAAATCATAAAGCTGATTTAGGACTGGATGATCAGGGATCCTGCAATTCAAACATCTTCAATCTTCATCCAAAATTGTTCTCTCTTTCAGTGTTTAACCACAATATTCTACACATTACAACTTTTTGAATATTTAGTTGTGTGGTAGCCCATGTGTATCAATGTTTGAACCATGCAGATTATATCACTGTTTGAAATGTCCATGGTTTGATTCTGGATGGGCCATACAAATATAAACTTCACAAGCTATCTAAAGCTTAATTTTCAAGACTTTTAAATAAACTGATACATGTAGAGTCGTGCAAAAATATTTCCCTTCATCCACGTCCCAAATTTAAAACATAAACACGAACGTCCCACTTTATTTGTAGGTAGAATAAATAGTAATTGAAACTATATATACTTAACTTACATGTTGATTACGCCTAAAAGATGGTAAATTGGATCCTTAATTGTGAACCTAAGTTGTTATCCTTGTGAAATAGTTCCATCTCTCTCTCTAAGCTTTCGTAGGGTAAAGTCTTTTCCAGTCAGGCAAATTCTGTTTTGGGGTAAAAACCTGCGCATTATACACACAAATATATGGTATATGTTTTATCCACTAATAGCCTCCAGTTTTTATTATAAGAAAATATTTTAACAAATTCAAATATGATTGTCTTAAAGTGAACTAGTGGTGTCCTTGTTTTGAAACAGACCTGGATGAGCAGGAATAAATTTGCTGGACTCTTTTATCAGTTATTACTGTACAACTCTGGTTAGAAATCAAAGACTCTGTTATCGTTCTTGATATTGTAAATATAACATAAATTGATTTTGAAAATAAGAATATATATTGACCTGTATGAAGATATTATTTTATATTGTACATAAAACAGATTTATATTAAAATTGTAGCTTTTGTCTTTTATCTTATGTGGCAGTGGAATAGCTGCTATGGGATTGTGTACTCTAGAAGGAATCCTCCTCAAGTTAAGAAAAATTATCCAGTTGGACTTGTGTTGGCTCGTAGCTACACGGGGGATTAGGGAGGAGCCGAAAATGGATCCTGTGCAAATGGGAAATGCAAAAAAAAAAAACAGCTGTAATAGTTGTCTCAGATACATATACATGGTCATATCCATTGACGTAATGTTCCAAATGAATTTTCTAGGAGACTAACATCAATCAACAAATCGGGAATTACACGGGGAAAAAAACCTATGCACTAAACGATCCGAACCCCAAAACAAAACTAGAAATGCAAAATAACAGTTTGGCAATACATTGATAGCAGCCAATCAGAACTATACACATGAGAAAGTATTAACCAAAATTGAATAAGTATTTCGTAAAGCCTGCCACGGACGAGAGGAACTAGCTGAGCTGCTTGCCTCGAGAGGCTGTCAGCTGAGCAACAATCTCATTACTTTTTTTCACCGCAGACGACAGCTCTCGCCTGAGCTATTGTCTCCCTGGAAAATCTTCCACGAATTCCGTACGTCAACGAAAACAACCGAAAAACGTTCGGACTACATCCATGTCACGTAAGTGATCAAAATGGCCTCATTTCTCTGTTTTGGAATTCTACAGAGAAAAAAACAGCGTATAGACACGGAAAGTGGTATCAGGTGTCTAGAAGAGTAAGCATAACCTGTCGGAAACCACACTTGTAATTGCTCGAATATTGAATCCAATATCTGTCCTGATTCATTCAAGATGAATTTCAAAGTCAGGTGCTTGTAGAAGGAGTAACTTACTCTTTCTGACCAGTAGTGATTCTACCAAATAATTGTTCGTGTACTCATTTGAGCAAATATAGTCGTTCTCGAACAGGGGACCTTGGTAAAATCAAAATGTGCCCTGGAGTTATTTATTCAGTGTACATCAGGTAAGGACTTTATTTTGATATATTGATGGTACAAATTGATGGTCCCCTGCTCAAGAACATTCTTATTAGCATCAGCCGCATTGTAACTCTGTCTTTCAAATAGTCTGTGCTTACTAATATATGTGAGCTACCCAACCAATGCCTACTGGCTATCCAATAATATTGTGTATTGGGCCTGGAATTTGGCTGTCCAAGAATTCAAGGAAATGGGGTTTAATATGGTAACTGACAGAGTTAGTAAAAAAACTTTGAGAAGGCCTACTTCGTACTAATGTAGGCTACTAATTGAACTCTTTATCAAAATTATGCTATCCAATAATCCCCTTACTAAAACAAGCTATTCAATTGTCCAGTTCTCTTAGGCATAACAAATACCACTATACATATTGAAAGTATGTTTTATTGTCCAGTATTATTTAAAATGTCGGAACACTTCTAGTGTCTAAACAACGAAACATCGGTTTTGAGCCTTGTTTGCATCAGTGTCTCAATTTTACCATATATTTGCATCGATGAGCCTCCATACAAATCTTTATATTTATCATCTACTTGTCCTTAAGGGGACTCCATACTTTTCAAACTATAGACATGTTTGTCCAGCCACTTTTTTATAAATGTTGCTGTCTCTTGTCTAATTTGATATTTTGATAAAGAAATTTTGAAGAAACTATCATTCAATTTTACAGATCTGCTGTTAATAAGCCAATTAATTCTTCAAAAAGTTTGATTTTCCTTTTCTTTCGTTTTCGCTTCAAACCGGAAGTCAGTCAAGCGTCTGGATAATTAATCTATCTTTGTTTACATCGCGAGTTGAAACTTGTGAAGTTTTTAGTGGGATTTAATCATTCGTCTAAATTTCTGTTATTTTTTGTGAACTTTAGCTATCTTTAGGAACTTACTTATATTTATATGAACATCTGCAATGATTTGAACGAAAAATTATCAGAATTTGTGAGCAAATATCCAAAATGCCGGTTCCTGAAGTCGAAGAATCGCTGTTTTCGTTGGAATTGGTTATTGACAAAATCTACATCCCTCACGTCGTGTGTCGGTTTCCAGCCGTAGCCTTCAGACTTTTGGATTTTCCAACAATTTTAATCAACCATGTTGATCAAGAACTTGGCGACAGAATCAAAACCAAGATTTCAAGGGACTCTCATTACACCCCGCCTGATCAGTTCAGTGAACTGCAGGACAACCATGGCAACTATATGGTTAAAAAAGGGAAATCTTGTCTTTTTAAAACTAGTGTAGACTCTCTTAAAACTCATTTATCCAACACGCCTCTGTATGTGATGGCTCTGGACATGTTTCCGGACACTCCAAAGCTAATCGGAAATAGCAGTGTTCCTCTTGACAGCCTAATGAAACAAATTTGTGTGGACATTGCTAAAAAAGGATTGACGGTGCCTTCTGTTCATGGTGATAAAGGTCTTTTTAAAATCTACAACTTGATGGGAAAAGAAATTGGTTACATTGTTCTTGGGTTTCGATTATTGTGCCTTGGTCCAAGCATGGCGGGTCACATTCCTAGCAAAGCTGCAACAACCAATAAACTTGTGACTCAGGTTGAAAAAGAGAATTGTCAAAATGAGGTCAATGTGATAAACGTTCAACCAAGCATTGACAGTAAACAAGTGGCTAATTTCAGTATGAAAGCTAATAAACCACCAGGAAAAGAACAAAACTTGCGACATTCTCAAGAAATGGGGTCGATGACAGACGCTATGACAAATGATGTCTTGCTGCAGACGGTGCCGACCGAAGAGAAAGCAGTTCATGTTGTCATTTCAGAGCCAGAGAAACCCAAGATTCCTCAATCCAACATTTCCACTCAGACTGAGAAAAAAAGGAGGAAAAATCAACACATTTTACAAAAAGATGTCGATATTTCACTAGAGGATGACGGAGCTAATTTTCTTGATGAGCCAAATATTTTCTGCCCACCTCCATTATTTTATAATAAATATGCAGAACCAAAGATACAAATGGAGCGCCCCGTTTATTACACAGACGAAGAAAGTTTGGACGATTTAAGCGAAACAGGGAGTGTATGTAATAAAATTTCCAAAGTTCATGATCCTAAGAAACTGGAACAAAGTCTTACACCAAGAAGATCTAATATAAAAGTGCCTTCAACTGTCCAAAATACTCGGAAATCCCAACAAAATAAAACTGCCAACACTCAAGGCCCTGTGGTTCAAAACAATCCTATGTTTCCAATTCTTACTGCCTTATTAAATGAACTTGTTGGTATTCAGGGTTCACAGGGCCTTGAAAACGTCATCCAAAGAGTTGGGCACGTGACTTCTGGAGGACATTCTCCACGACAGCTAACTCAACAGAAGGTTAGAGATGCTCTAACAGTTAATGTGGCACGACCAACTCTCAGTTCTCAAAGTAAGAAGAGTTTGAAGAAGGAAGATGATGTCAACATTTCGGCCAAAAATAGAAGCTGGATTAGGAAAACTCCACAGTCCGTACCGAAAACTGGAAAACTCACGTACAGATTAACCAAAACTCAAAAATTGAGGATTGCCAAGAGTAATCCAAAATGGCTGCAGGAGAAAGAAAAAATTGATGAAGACCAGAAACCAAAACCACCATTAGCCGTAGTCTCAGAAGAGGACCTCAGCGTCACTAACTTTTCAGATACCCTGACTGAGGTACGAAGACTTGCGCAAAAGGAACTAGACAACGAAACGTTGGACTCTGTCCAAGACCTTGGATCCTCCATGAGAAGCTCTCATCCCAGTCCGAAACATAAGAGAAAGCATCTTCACAAGAAGAAGTCCAAAAGTCAGCAAAGTCCTTCCAGAGTCCAGCAGTTCAAGCCGTTTGATCCACCAGTGCCCATGTCATCACAGATACAGGTTAAAACATCAATGTCTGCATTCGATGTAAGCTCTTCTTCGCCCAAAAAGGATACCCAAGCCAAGGGTTCCTCACTGAAAACCGTCCAAAGTTCTCCTATGATTATTGAACACGACGAGTCCCATCCTCGGCAAGAAGCAATGGAACCAGATCTGCGGAGATTTGTCTCGGAATCGGGCAGTGACGAGTCTGTGGATCGATCCAAAGGCCACGTCGGTGTGGAGGTCCACCTACCAAAAGCTCCACCCGAAGAAGACAGCGGTGATGACATTTCTTTGCCAGATAACGATGAAAAAGGAAGAAAAATGTCCACAGGATTGATCGAGAAAAGCACATCGTTCCGTGAATCCATTTTGGGAAGATCGCATGATTCTCTTGATGTGAACGATGATCCAGGACCTCTCGAATCCACACGAACATCTCAGTCGTATCAAACCAATTTCACTGATTCTCCTAGGAAGCTTAGGAATGATCCAAAAGAAGTCACCGATTCGAAGGTCTACCAGTCCACTACAGATAACGATACTCGACAGTTCATGTCCACAGAAGAACCAGAACTTCAAGAATTGGTGAGCGGTGGAGAATCCGAGTCTGCAGAATCACCACGATATGTACCAACGTTTGCTGACACCAGCAGTAAACCAAGCGTAATACGATCGTCTATGAAATTCCCAGTGCTGAATCCAATTTCATCAGAGCAGTCGCCGATTCCAGCCACTAGAAAATCCACCGTCAAACCAGAAGGTCGACCGTCGAAAACGTCTGAGAACGCGTCTTCTGCCGGCAGCTCTATTGTTCCTACACCAAGAGCTCGACGTTTTCCCCGCGTACGAGAGAGCATTCATACTGAATCGGTGAGCTCGTATATGCCATCTGAAGACGGAGTGGTCACTTTGGACAGTGATGCTAACTACTCCGATGATTTTCAAAACACCGGAAGTATCGGCAGTGTTTCTGACCTCTCTCCGTCGCCGGACATGTTTCCCAGGAGAATTCCGTCCACTAAATTAGGTTATACCATATCGTAATGATACAGATATTAACTGTTTCAGGAGTATGTCAGATTATTTTTGAATGAAGACATTGTAATCTACATGTATTTAAAGTTAATAGTAGTTTTAATATGTTTATGTATATTGATGTAGATATGATAATTTATTTATTCAGTATATTTATATCTGTTTATTTACACCATATTTTAGTATTATGGGTACAGCTGCTGTCCGGTGGCATTTTAAAAGCATTCATTATGTGAGGGAAGGGGCGTCAGCATTGTCAAAAAAAGATAGGGCGGGCCCCCAGGTCCAGGCACTTAAGAACTTTTGAAACTGGGGGAGGGGATCTCAATGATTGTCCCGGCCTCCGTCAATATAGAGAAGAGAGAGCGAGGTAGACTAATCCATAAGGCTCGCACAATCGAATCTCCACCACAATTGTTGCCTATCAAGGCATGGCATGCTCCATTCTGACAACAGAAAATAGTCATTATCTGATGTAGGAAACGATAGTTTTGATCGATTGTGTTCAACCATTCACAATACCTGGCATCACCCCTTATCGGATTTGTCAACTCCACAAATCTATTGAAGAATTCACAAAATTAATTAGATATGGAGTTACCTCCCTTTGATCAGAGACAATACTTCTTGTTACTTATTACTTTGCTACTGGTTTTGTTAACTCCACAGTCGTATTGAAGAATCCACATTGCTTTTATGGACATTTGTGAATTATATAGAGTAAGGTGTCAAGTCTTTGAATGTCATTTAGCAATTGTGAGTACGATATACATATATATAAACACAGCTTTATGGAACAACAATCACTGGTTAAAGTTTTATGCAACGTTTCGACATGTTTCCCCCGTCGTCCTCAGGCAAACACGTCGAAACATTGTTTAAAACTTTAACCAGTGATTGTTGTTCTATAAAGCTGTGTAAGGAGTTATCTCGCGATGAATATAAATCCACAGAGGTAATAATAAAACCAATTATTTAAAAAATAAAATCGTTTAATCAATATAAAAATTATAAAGAATGGAATTAAATAAAACAAAAATTAAAAGCGTAGTAGGCATTATGTTTACTTGCAGTGTCAATATAAAGCTGCTATTAATTTTGTCCTAGAAAGTGGTGTGTCTTGTAATTCTGTGCTTCTTAGTACTAGCATTCAGGCTAGTTATTGTCATCGTACGCGTGCTTTTCATGTACTGATTTGGAAAAATAGTAAATGATACTGGTATTTTTAGTTGTGTAGCTTAATATGTTTATATGAGCACAAATATTTTTTCACGACCACAGTTCCTTCCCTTTGATAAGAATTGAGCAAAGTTATCATATTGGGACATTTCTAATAAATAAGTTGACCAACCGTCTGATCTTTCTTGATGTAACTACGGGAGTCTTTGATATCCAAATATTTAATCAGCAAGGCATAAAGGTGCGGGTACACGAACGGCCTTGGTCGACGATTTTTGTCGCTGACTCGAATCTTGAGGAAAATCTCGCGTGTGTCCGCTCTTTCACGACAAGATTATTGCCTCTCCAACAAGATTTACAATATCAAACAAGTTTGATAAAATGTCTCCGATAGTTTTATCGTCATCATCCAATCAGATTCATTTTCCTTTCAATTGCATGCTCTGCACGTGATTATCGACATGGTGGAAAACGACCGACTGGAGATTTTTGTCTCCTCGTTTGCCCGTGTGAACTCTTGACAACATTCTAGTCGGCGATAGTACACTGTAATCATCTCATAGACTAATTTAAATATTTTTTAGTAACATCACTCTCCCGAAATAGGGATTACTTCATCATTTTATGTTTTAACACAATCCAGAAATTTGAATCACTTCCCCACGACCACAGAATTATTAAATTATTTGACATATTTCACACGATTATTGATAATTTCTCATTTGTGACGTCATAAACTCCCTATAGTTGTCGGGATCTTGCGGTGGCATCTCGTCAATTGAACCTGCACGTGCAATTCGCTGTCTGTGATAGTTTTTCTCGAATGAATTCTCTTCATTGTAATCAAAACCTACCGAGTTCTGAGACTGCCAATTTTTGGTTGGTTTGAAGGGACTAGCCCCCTGATTGCTGTTTGCCGGACTGGACGTAGACGCAGGGTACGGCTCGTTATCATCGCTATCCAAACTTTCCAACCGATTAACCGTTTTTTCTTGAACGACCTCTATCGTAGATTTATACATGTACGGCATAGACGCTGATGATACTGGGTCCGGCTGACGTTCAAACATGTATGGTTCTGTACGACTCCGTTTGCGATTATTGGTATCCACATAGTCAATGATAGTAAACTCACCGCCGCCATTTTGAGCAGTATTAGTATTATTACTGGTACTGGTACTAGTTGATTGGCGGGTATTCTGAGCGAGGAATTGTTCGGCTGTTAAAGATTCCGATCTATCGTCATCCTCCTCGGCCCCTATCACCATAGACATCGTCTATAACATAAACATTGTTTAAATATTAACATAAAGAGATATTAACAGTTGTTCAACAACTACCATAAAGACTGGTTGAACCAAGTCTACGGTCCCCCAACCCTGAGGGGGTCCCGACCCAAAAGAAAATGTTGGAGGGCATATATATTAAAAAAAAATTCCTGGGGAGGTTCCCAACCCACAAAAGTACAAAGTACCGTCTAATACCTTGATATCATTTGGCACTTTTCTCGTAAGACGGAAGTTTGAAAATGCAGCCATTTGACCGGATTGTACGCTATACGATAACAGAATTGAAGTGTTTGAATTGTCAAGTTGTTTCTTCTATTGGTTATTAAACGTATAATGTAGAATAAAAATATCCTGAGTTTTAAAAAAGTTTGCCACTTACATTGACGTCATAGTTAGCATCGAGCCTGAAAAAAAACGAAAGAAAAGCATTAATTTTAGCTGGAAACTTATCGGAACTATCTGTTATCACTAAGTAATAAAACCAATAATTCCACACTAGTTATTAAGGTACTTGGTATTTATATGTGCAATTTATTACTATAGTTACTGAATAAGGCGCTTTGATTATGTGGAATTGCAAGAACCACAGATATCTGACTGAAAACTGGAATGGTGTAAATTGATGCTATCAGTGTCCCTGATACACATGGAATGTGTAGAAAATCTCTTTACAATCTCTTTAATTCTTCCCAATGTACGGAATAACAAACAGTACATATGAAGATATTGTAAATTATTAACCCTCGTAATGTACAGTTTAATTCAGGTAGAATTACTCACCAATCAGAGAGTCGTTTCTGTGATTTTCTAATAACTAAAATATAAAAGATCAGTTATTATATATTTCCATGGTTCCCCTTAAGTAAGCAAACCTTGTTTTTGCGACCAAGATAATAAATATTCATAAGGTCACAAGATTTTCAAACCGACCAATGAATACGCTGTCACATTCGGTATGTTTTGTACATATGAGCACACAGTACACGCATGAAATGAGTAGGGACAACCCCTCTCGTTTGAAATAGTTCGTTTTGATTGGATAGAATCTTAGCCTCTTACGAAGCGATTTGGAATCACGGCTCCATCTTGCTTTTGATTAGAAAGCGTGGTTGTAACGACGAAGGGCGTGGTCGAGCATGAGCACTAGACGTAAGTCAGTAGCGAGTTCTGCTGGGTGGTTAGATGCTGTGGGTTACTATCCCAATAAAGTAGGAAAATTCTGAAGCAAAGCCCAATGCTGGTGTTATTTTCACCCCTTATCATTACAAAACTATCTAAATTGACAAGATGCGGACGAACCTTTATAATCAATCCCATCAAAATTATGACCTTCATCTCGACTTCTACTTCTATGTCGTCTGTTTCTTTCTTCCTCTTCGTGAGGAGCGTTCTCATCATCTAAAACTTTAGGTCGATACAAAGACAGATGATTTGGTTGGGCATAGGGATCAGCATAGTACCAGTTGGCTGGATAGTAACTCGAATATCCAGCCGCTACTGTAGACACGGTCGAATAGTCTGCTGGTGGCCTTCTTATATTCTTTACTTTCGCTTTCTTTTTTAACATACTGGAAAAGAACGGACATATACATGATGATTTTTTCAAATGGTGCCGAAGAGAAACACGTGTTTTTGACAAGTTTTCAGATGGGAATACCTCACCCTTTATCAATGATAGATAGAGGAAGGATAGTGAAGAGACGATGGGATCAAGGGTTGCCTATAGAAGACTCGTGAACCTATTGATTTTACTGATGATGACAATGTAAATTGTAGAAACGATGTGTACAATCAAAGACGCAGTATACAATAAAACTTTGTTCCGTTATTTTACGAAAAACTGGATTGTTCTGAAGGGGGAGGGGCATTGGTTTGAGTTGCAGAAATGGTTGTCGGGAGGGAGGGGGGGTGGGGCTGAAACTAATACGTACCTATTACAATAATATATAGTAAAACATATAGCTATTATAGCAAATACGAAAATAGCTACAGCTGCTGCTATCACCCCAACTAGCGCTTGATCCATGATGATTCAATACTGCTGAAACGATAGGAGAGAGTTTTTTATTCTGTTGGGACCTTGATTGGCTGTATTCGCTAGTTTCCTATCAAATAGTTGCATTTACAAACTTTCGTGAAAGCTATATAAGAATAGTGGCTATTGAAGTCAAGGTATAAGAACATCTTGACATTGTGAAGATGATATTGAATATATTGCCACCATATGCCTACTTTATGAATACTCTTTGCAATAAAAATACTTCATAAAAATACTACTTGAAAAACAATCTCGAAGACTTCATTTCTTACTATCGACATGTGTTGCCGATACAAAAACTATCATCAGGACTATGAAGTAGGGCTGTCTGTATTTGGCTCAAGAAATATCGGACAATTGAAAAATCTGTAACCGTGATAAGGAACCCCGTCGACATGTTGCCAAAACAAAAACCATCATCATGACTATGAAATAGCTAGATATATTTTGCTGACTCGAGTGTCTAGACGACTATGACTAGCGGGAAGACAAGGGGTTAATTTGGTGATGTTTGAGATATGTTGAAGACAGGCTAGTCAATAGCACGGTAGTGAGAGATTTATTTTTAAAATACTTGGTCATTGATTCAGGTTTTACAACACACCTCGTCACTCACAATCACAATGTCAAGCTATTACCAACTTCGCCTTCTACCTTGACTACAATATCCAAGTTTGTAAATGCAGTGATTTGATTGGATTGTACGATAGACAATACAGCCAATCAGTGTTCTGGACAGGACAAAAAGACTGTAAACATTATGGCTAACGTACAATCCAATCAAATCCCTGCATTTACAAACTTCCATGATACAAGAAAGTTGACTATTGCATTGGGGTATAAGACAGATCGCAACAGGTTTTATTTTTTAACTAAGCCAATCAGTAATAGTCTTAACAGCTCATCGTCTAAAGAGCCTTCAAATTCGGGTGTGGCCAAAACTAACCGCGTTTAAAAGTTAAAATGAGACTCTGCCATTTATAGAAAAACATAAAGAAATAAAAGTGAAATTCCTAGTTTGAGGTATTTTTGAAGGCAACTTTCCCTTTATTCAAAAATAGACGACTACATCCCTTTAAGGGAAAGAATAAACACCAGATTAGATGTCGGTAGAAAGCAGGTTTTAATATTGACTTAAAGAACAGTTAGTCAACAGTCAGAGTATAGTGTCAATAACTACTATTATATAATATTACTCCATAACGTGTCTTTATAACTAACAGCAACATTTGGTGGGGGGGGGGGGGGGGGGGTCA